CCCCCTCTCCCAGCCTTTGGCGATCATTAATCTACTTTCTGTTTCTATGAATTTTCCTGTTCTTTAAATTTCATGTAAGCAAAATCATACAGTAAAATCCCTTTTGTCTTCAGTTTTTTAAAACTATTTTATTGTGAAAGGCTGTTGAGTTTTGTCAAATGCTTTTTCTGTGTTTATTGAGATATTGTGTGAGTTTTGTCCTTTATTCCATTAACGTAGTGTGTGCTAATTGACTGATTTTCATTTATTAAACTAACCCTAAATTCCTGAGGTAAATGCAATTAGTCATGGTGTCTAATTCTGTTTATATTGAGGCTTGGTTCAATTTGCTTGTATTTTCTTGAAAATTTATGTATCTCTATTTCCAAGAAACATGTTTATGCATTTCTTTTCTGTGTAGTTTTTCTTCCCTTGGTATGTCTTTGGTTTTGATATCAGGGTAATACTAGCCTCATAGAATTAGTTTAGAAGTGTTGTTTCCTCTAATGTTTTCTGAAACAGTCTGTGAAGGGTGGATGTTAATTCATCTTCAAGCATGTGGTAGAACTCATCAGCGAAACCATCTGGTCCTGGGCTTTTATTTGTGGGCATTTTTGTTTGTTTGTTTGTTTATGTTATTACTAACTCAATCTCTTTACAAAATTGTTATAGATCTGTTTAGATCTTCTCTTTCTCACTTGGTCACTTTCAGTACTTGTGTCTTTCTAGGAATTTGTCCATTTTTTCGGGGACACCTAATTTGATGATATATAAATATGTATACGGTTCCCTTATACACTTTTCTATTTCTTTAAGGTTGGTAGAAATGCTTTATTTCTGATTTTAATAATTTAAACCTCCCATTTTCTCTTGATCAGTAGCTAAAAGTTTGTGAATTTTGTTGATCTTTTCACTTTTGATTCTGATTATTTTCTCTATTGTTTCTTTCCCATCTTATTTATTTTTACTCTAATCCTTGTGATTTCTTCTGCTTGCTTTAGGTTTAGCTCACTTTACATTAGGAACTACTGTTCCTATGTAGATAGGAAATGCTATTAAGAAAACTAAATTTCCAGTAGATCTTAAATCCAGTTTTCTGGTGTATTTGTCACATACACAAACAGAATTAAAAGTGCGGAATATTAAATTAGTGATACCAGGGAAAAACTTGAAAAATTGTCCCTGGGTGTAGATGAAAACCCTTTGAATTGATATGTGAGGGAATGGTATATAATATAGAGAATGGGGGCGTATTTCAATTCTATGCTCTTTCCGGGGGGCAGGGATGTGGAACATGAAGAAATGAAAGAAAAACTCTAGTGAAAAGGTTACAGAGTTTCCTATACAACATTTAAAGAGCTTGCAAGTTGTCACTTCCATCCTCACAACAAGAAAATACCAGAAAAACTGAAAATGACCAACTCTTCTTAACTCCATCAGAGGATTGATGTTATAGGGCAAGCTGCTGCCCCAGAGCTGGGGAGAAAGTCGGGGAATACAGAGGTCACAGCTTACTGGTAGCAGGGACCTAGGAGCAGAAGTCCCTGGATGGATCCAGCATCAGAATAAACAATTCAACTGTAATGAAAAATTGATGTAGGCTTAGTGTGGACTAACTTGAGAGTTAAAAGCACCCAGGGGACCTCCCAATCTTAGGGTGGGTATTACCTCCAGAAATCCTACATAGAGAGTATTACTACAGAAATCCTACATGGTTCTCACTGTGGAGACTGCAGAAAATCCCTTTAAGCTTCTAGAAGTGGGTAGGGAAAAGTAATCTATGGAAATAAGCCCAGAACTCTGTACTTAAAAGTGCCTTCCCTTCGGGGAAACTGACTGAGTTTTTAGTTTCTAGAAGATTAAGACCTTAGCACAGGGCTATGGAATTCTTCTTGTCAACCAACATTTTACCACATTTGTGGAGCTCCTTTATAATAAGGATCTGTAACTATGAGAGCTACAAGCCTCAGACCCTTTTAAAGATGGATTCCCTAGGCAAGTCCATAGACAACTGTGGAGGTCAAAACAAGGACACTAGAGGAAATTGTAGAATATGACACCACAGCTACAGTAACCAGTAAACACAGCCTAACTCCCAGCCATATAAACATCAAACTTCACACTTAATACCTATTTATCTAAGTTTCTTTTACCCAATACATCATGTGTGGCTTCCAACAAGAATTAAAAGGCATGCTAAATTACACAAATGTCTGGAAAGACAAAGCAAACTTCAGAACCAGACCCAGATATGGCAGAAATTTCATAATTATCACACAGGGAATTAAAAATAACTAGAATTAATATGCTAATGGTTCTAATTGAAAAAGTTTAACATCCAAGAAAGGTAATGTAAGCAAAGGAATGGATACTCTAAGAATCCAAATGAAATGCTAGAAAACAAAAACACTGTATCAGAAATGAAGAATATCCTGGTGGACTTGTTGGTAGACTGGACACAGCTGAGAGAAAAATTAGTGAGCTTGAAGATATGTCACTAGAAACTTCCAAAACTAAAGAAGGAAGAGAAAAAAGACTAAGAAAGATAAAGCAGAGCATC